TATAACGTTTTTCTATATAATCAACAGTTTTAAAAAAATTTAATATTTTAGCAAAAAATATTTTTTTTCTTCATACATTTATCTTTACCGGCAAAGCTTTGAGCAAAATCGGAATAGTGGTTCTCGAGTTATGTCAAAAAAAGACCACCAAAGGTGACAATTTCCCCTATATGATAGTTATATATATATCTCGATTCCTAGACGTGACCCAGCGAAACGCCGGGACANGTTGGTTTCATCCCATCCCGATTTTGACTGTCGCATAGTGTAATGTAGGCAAAGCCAGCTTCTATGACAGTGTTTCATAAAAATGCCTTTTATCATTACTCTTGCAAATTCCAAAATTACATGAGGGATTTGGAATTTCGGCGGCTTTTCATTTAGGAATATGTCACTCTTCCAAGTAAAAAAAATTGGATTTATGTCACTACACAAGGAGTGACATTATCCCAAATTTTAATATTGGATTTATGCCACTTGGAACTATGTCACGGCACCGTTTTGAACGACTACACAAATGTTTAGAGGACTTGAAACCACAACCAAATATTTTTTAACGGTGTGAAGTGGTATTACCACTTTTATGGGTGTGAAACGAAGTTGAAGACTCCACCCATTAGAAAGAGAACGGTCCAAAATTTAAGGCGCCCTTCTCTAACCCCTAGGACCCATTTGGGAATGGGCTAAAATTAGCATTTTGCCAGAAAAGGCAAAATAAAGGATTTACGCGCAGAATTCCTTTCCGCGTTGGAGGCCTTCGAGCGCGCTTAGAAAAAATAACCCAACAGTATTTTTTTTACAAAAAAGTTCATATTTCACACCGAAGTTATTAAAAAATTAGTGTTCGAAAATTTTAAATCTTTATATTCAACTAAATTTTAATCCTTTGATCACAGGCGGATTTTAACATTTTTTTATTCGGGTTACGCGTGTGGATACCCAAACCCAACCCAAAATTATTGTACAAATAACCAAACTTTACCCAACAAAAGACCGTTTGATTGTTCAAATTTCAATTCTAAGAACAAAATGCTTTAAATAAGCAGAAAATTTATAATAAAATTTGAAGGTTTTTAGATATGGTAGCACGAAACGTCACAATCTGTTTAGTTTTCAGGTTGTTTATGTGGCGACGAAAAAGTGACAATGGAACTACCTTCTTTTCTGTATCATGGGCTTAATACTTTCGATTGGTATATAGTTTGTTCGTTAAACAAATAAGTACAAAATTAAAAAGTAATAATGGCCAGGATTTTCTCAGCCAACCCACTCGCGAAATACATATTAACTTGTTTTCCAATCAAAAATTTTTAAGCAAAAAACAAAACCGACTTCAATTCTCATATAAACATTTAGGTGTGCCGTTAATTTCTTCAAGATCCAATTATGCGATCTAAACAAAATTAGTATGGGACCACCTTTAACGGTTAACGTGGTCCAAAGGTACGGTATACGGTAACCTACATAAAGAAAATAAAAATATTCCGACGAATTGATAACCTTCTCCCTTTTTTGAAGTCGGCTATAAAGCGCAATAAAACCATAATGCAAATAAGGCCATATCGAAATTATGGTTTTATTTCCAATCGCCAAGCGAAATAAGCCATTATGGCCTTATTGCTCATGGTGTTATTGCAACTCACCTTACGTTTTTGAGATTTCAATATGCAATTAATAAACTTGATAAGTAGAATATATTCAATCTAAGACAAGCGTGTTAAACTCAAACAAGCTCACGGGCCAAACAGAAAATATTAAAGCATGCTGTGGGCCAAAAGTAGAATAAATCATATACATAGATATCGATGGCTGAGTGGAAGATCGACCTATCTCGGCAGCCAGCTCGAAAATGCCCTATCTCAGAAACTTTTTAAGAACCTACTTCAGAATTTGGTTGAAGAACGCTCTATCGCACTCAGCCATCGATATACTGTTCACAGGCTATTTTATTTGAATAATAATATAAAATAACGAAAAACGGAAAAAAATTAATGCTTCCTGCCAGAAATTTGACATCTTTTCTTTGCTACTATTTTAACCTATTTTGGAGAAAATTTGTTTGCAGTGATTACTTTCAAAATTGATCCCAGGTGAGCGTTAGTAATTGTAGATCGGGCTGCAGATTTATTTCCTTTCAAACTGAGAATAGTGGCTCACTCCGATAGGTACTTCCAAACATGCAAATACATGGAAATAATTTCATACGCCAATTTTCGGGTATTTGCGAATCGAGACCATTTGTAAAAATCTGGCATGCCAACATCACAGTCTTCAGACATGAATCCCACTGTATCTCTTAATTAAATTTGCATCCTGTTCCTATTTACTAAATACATACACATTCTCCCTTATAGTTGTGTGTATATAAATCGCCAAAAAGCTGCTCGAGGTTAACTCTAAATTTAAAGAAATCTTTAAAACCAAAAATGGCCGTAAAAACTTCAAGAGTCGTAATTTATCTATGTACTTAAAAAAATCAATTTTTTTTACAAACACAAAAGCACAAAAAATCGAGTGGGGCGGCCCACGGGCCGCGAGTTTGACACCCTTGGTCTAAGAGATAACCAAATTTCCTAAATAGCCGAAGATATGTCTTTCCATCTGCCTTTTGGTATATCAACTGTATGAGTTGATAAAACGTTGATTGCGTTCTCCCACTACATTTAAATTTTTAAATACTTCGTTATATTATTAAGCGTTCGATATGAACTTATGTTTATTGTAAGTTACCGTTTTGTTATTAATTTATTGTTATTTATTTATATTTATAAAGCTTAAAAGCTTAAAAGAGCTCTATACAGTAACAGAAAAAAATAGATTGGTTTACATTTTAAGAATTTTGGTATAACATTTAACTTAGCTTTTTGTGCACCCATCTCTTTTTCTGTTTATTATTCTCAATTTTTTTTTCCTTAATACTCATTTGACTGAGTTTCAATTACACCCAGTAAAAATCATGATAAAAATATTAGAAAGTAAAACCATTCTCTCAATTCGTCGGCCATGATTTTTTTCTGACGTTTGCAAACATTTTAAAATCATATAAAATTGAAAATAAAAAAATGAAATTGTTCACAATTGTTGTTGTTTGAGATTAAAAAATGAGAATGTGTGTGTGAGCTTGAGTTCGAATTTTAAGATTATATTGCTGGCAAACGTCAGACTGTCTCTAACGTTTTTATCATGGTAAAAGTCAAAATATTTTATAAGAAATTTGTTGACCGTTGCTCAAATTGAAAAGATTTCCTCCTTCGCACACTTCTCTCATGCTTTTTTATCGTAGTTATTATTCGGTTGACATCTAGATTGCCATACATTTTATGTCGTTGCCAATACATTGTTTTCCGGCGTTTCCTCTGTGAACTTTTATAACAACATTCACAAAAATATTACTAATTTTGGTTTGTAATTTTTTTCCATCTTGCTATTGCTGAATATCAAAAATGAATTAATAAATAATAAAAAGTTAGTTACAATTTTAGTGAATGGTTCTTGGAAATAATAGTATTTTGTGGTTGAAATGACTACTGCTCACTAAATTTGTAAAAATCAAATTTTTTCACTTAATTGTTATATTTTTCTTCATTGTGGTAAACTTCCACATCATCACAGCAGCTGGATGTCAAACCGAAACCAAAAAAGATACCAGAATATTCAGGGCGATATCTTCTTTTCTCTGATTACTGTACTACTACTTTGAATTTCTCAATTTTGACAATTCTGATCTAAAAGTAAGCGAAACCTCAGAAACTTTAAATGCACTGCAATTCACTAATACCTACTACCACAAAAATCACCTTTTTCGTATTTTCCTTGTAAAAGTTATTTTAAATTATATATTTTTATCGCCTTATTCATAAAAATGAAAATTTTAAAAAGCTATTTAAATTGCCGTTTGCAAACATTTTTTTAAATTAATAAACCTTTTTAAAGCTACTTTAGTTTTTATGAATAAGGCTATTAGAATTTAGCACAATACTACTATTAATGGTAACCATATTCATTAAAACCGTTTCAATTCGTAATAAAAGTAGTTTACATACTTTTAGTCTAAATATATTTTTTAATATAAACTAGCTTTTTAAATTCTAAAATAAATCAACAATCTCAAGACTTATAAAAAAGTTGTCTTAAAAAAATAGGTTCCAAAGCATCCCTGTTGATATCATAATTCAAATGCAAATTAGAATAGAAATTTTGACGCAAAAGATTTTCCGCGATATTCATCATACAAATTTATCACCTTACTTGTTCGTATGTCGCTCAGGAAATAAATATATTTCAATTCGTACGTTTTCTTAAAAATAAATTCAAATTTACCTAATTTTTCCACCGGCAGGCACGAATATGGTATTCAAAACAGAAACAATGACAACGAATTTTACACACATTGTTGTATTTTAGCATTAGAGCACAACGATAAGTTTCATAAATATTTTAAATTATTGCCTGGAACATACACATTTATCGTTATTATTGGAAATGCAAGACTTGGCATGCAGTTTTAATTTCTTATTTAATTAATTCAAATGAATAAAAACACATTTTTCTAAAATATTTCTCAATTTACATTTTAAAGTTTTTTCTGAAACTTGAATGTAACTCTGTGCGGAGAATGAGAGAATTGAAAATCAGGTGATCTCAGCTGTTTTCAAATGTAAATAAACAAAATGGCGCTTTCCATACTTGTAAGCCTATACAATGGTTCGAACCGACAAAGAGTTGTAATGCCAAATAAGAAAAATAAACTCAAAATTTATAACTCTTTGAAAATTATAACATAGTAAAAAAGAAAAAGTGTGTGCAAAGAATAGGGATTTCGACGCTTATGTTGATTTTTTAAAATGAAATAGAGATTTGACACTTAAAAAAAAGTTTTAACTCAATATATTTTGCAAGGCTTTTTATTTTTCATATTTACATAAATTTATGAATATGAGCAAAGTTTACCATAAATACGATTATCTACAATCACAGCTATTCCACTGCTATTTAAACTTGATCATGTGGTTGCTGGTTTTTTTTGTTAATAATTCTATTTTTAGAATTTTTAACTTATAACAATTGAGTTTGAGGCCGTTTTTAATGAAAAATAATATAAAAAAAACTTTTTAATATACAACGCTTTTATAAATGGACTAAAAAGTAGAAAATAATACTTCTCAGTCCCATAGAATTTGTTTTGATAACTTTTGATTTTGAAATTTTAGCAAAAGTCATTATAAACAATCTATGAAATTGAAAATGAAAAACGTGGAGCGCATGC